TATCAGTGCCCTCTAATTCACACATACTTCTTATTCTTCCTAGACTGATAGTTAAATATTGACATGACCATCTTTGTATCAGTTTTCTTTCACCAACACACTGCAAAACTTTAGAGGAAACAGTGCCTTAGATTACACATATGCATAGAAATAATAAAACTATAAAAGAGTTGGAAAAGAAAAAATCTTAGAAAATGTTAATACAAACAGGACAGCAATAACATCCACTCCAGAAGACCTTCCTTTTCATTTTCGGATGCAATTAGCTGGTTCACTGACTCGTGAAGTACGCATGCCTAGATGTTGCATTTGATTTTGACCCATCTTCATTTGTATTAAATGATAAATATAGAACAATCAGAATACAAAAAAAAGTTGCAAAATATAAAAAACCAAATAAACATTTAGATAATGATGGAACTGTGCAAAGAACTAAAACATGGAGCTAGTGAAGTGTTTTCCTATTATCTTTGGTGAATAAATATTTTATTTGCCTGAATTGCTATAAATGCTCTTAACCACAGAATTATACAATCTTTAGAAAAGAGATAATCTGTCAACATATTTCTGTTCTGTTTTGGTACTTCTATTGACTTTTTCTGCAGTATATTAGCACTATTAAGTTATTCACTAGGTAATCTGAGATTTGTCATAAGTGATTCTCTCTCATTCTCTGCATTTCTTTGCTCAAGATAATTTTCTTTGTTCATAAATAGATGCATACAAGTATAACCTCCAAAACACAAAGAAATAGATGCTAAAGGTTTAGAGAAAAATAAACAATAGTTTCCTTTGGATAGCACCTTGAAATTTTTGGTATTTGTCTGTTCTTGTATTAGTTAAGCCTACCATCATTCAAAGTAACCCCTAAAAGGTTTACTTTTTGAAGAAGCTCCTCTTCATGCTCATTATCTGTATCCTTCTTGGACTCAGTATGGACCTAATATTCAGCTTGATGCTCTTCATCCAGGAACCAATCTTCCCTGAGAAAACAATCATTTTGACAGTTATTCACAGAAGAGGTCATCCCCACACTGTCCACATCAGAATCCATGCAATATCACAAGTTTCTTGAACAAACAAAGAAGCTGGCAGGGCTAGTGTGAGAACAGATGTTTTTGAGAGGTATAACTTCCCATCATTACTTGTGCATGTATCTCTGTGTGGACAGCTTAAACCATAATGTGTCCATGTCTGGAAACTCGTTACCTCTCCCAAATGGGACCACAGTATCATTGAGTTGGTAATGTTGAACACTGTAAAAAAAGATCAAAGTTAATCAAAAAGAAGCTAACCCTCCATCCTCTGGCAGTAGGTGACCATCCTTCAGTACCTGTAAGGTTGTTATCACAGTACAGCCTAGCCACTTTGTGACAGGGTTTGGGTACCAGCCAAAATATGCTGTCACCAAGCCCCTTCTGTGTACCAAGTAATCTGTAAGCTCTTGCTTCTTGCTCTTTTTACAGTGGATTTCTACAACTGGAAAAAAGGCACATTATGTGATTAAATCTGTTGCTCTGACCTACACTTAGTCCTGCTTTTCACTGTAGCTATTGGGCTGAAACTCACTGTTCACACTTGTCTGCTATGTAACTAAGTATCCCAATTTTACCCAAACCCAAAACCATTCCAGCAGCCAAAGACTGAATCGCATCTGGGCTTGGAGCTATTCCAGGAGTTGTCTTTATGATTTATTATACCACAGCGACTTCTTACTGCTGCAGCTCAGGAGTGAAGTGAGTGAAAGTGTTGGACCAATGACAACTATAAAAACTTATTCCGTAACCCCTGCCCCTTGTAGAGCAAGGAATAGGTAAGGAAAGTGTAAGTAAGCAAGCATCCTTGCACTGCTATAGAAGCATGAGTAAGTGCAAAATTCTAGGAGCTGCCCATTGGCAGGATAATCTGGTTTCTTGTTTTCTCCTACACAATTATTACATTCACTCACTCTTTTCCAAATTTTTTTTGTCCTTGATTGCTAAAACTAAATTTGGCTGTAAAGCCAATGTAGCTGAAACTGTGTACTCATTTGTCAACAGCATTCTGTTGAATAATGTAGTAATTGTAGTAGAACTTAAAGAAGTTAGGAGATGAGATTCCTGCTATATAGATCCAGATAACTTTTGTGAAAGTGCTGCTGTTGGAAGGACTTGTCATAACTGGCCTTTTATGCTTATATTTCTCTGTGGGACACACTGAAAAAAAGAAGAGGAAGGAGGAAAGAGGAAAGAGGAAAGGTGAAGGGAAGAAACGATGAGGGAGAAAGAAAAAAGAAAAAGGAAAAAGGAAAAAGGAAAGGGGTAAAGGAAAAATATTGCATTATGCAGCTCTGGAAGTTTTAAGATGATATTTGGTTGTATTTAGGAAAATCCCAAACACCTAATTCTGACTGTAAAAGTCTACAAACTACAGGTCAGGAACTGTAAAGACAGAATGGAAGAAGCTCATATGCGAGAAACAAGGTGAACAATTAGTATCCCCTAGTATCGTACAGAGATTCTTATATTTAAGCACATATATTTAAATTGGGAATTTCCCTTTAATATATCTGCATTAAAATTTAATGGATAGATATAATTGCAGTTTGCCAGTTTACTAACAAGGCTCTATTTTTCCTGTTACATCTCTTTTCCATTAGTCAGTAAATGTGTTAGAACCTGCAGAGTAATGTAGCATTTAACATGAAGAAGAAATTCACAATTTGCCTTTAAAGAGGCAGCAGATCCTAAGGTCTGATTTCAAGATGACTAAACCTACCTAACCTTGATTCACAAAGTAATAAATGATATATAAATTTAAGTGTAGGCTGAAGTCGCAGGAATAAGATTTCATTCTGTAAAATATTTTACTGAAATTTCTGGATAATAGCACTGGTAGTGACATGGAAAACAACAGGTAGCCACTTGATGACAGAAGGATATAAAAATATGGCCCATTCAATTGTGCATCAACGCAACAGCTAGAAAATGTTCTATTGTTTCTTGAACTCTAAAGTGGGCAGCTTTCCTGTGATGCTCCTGGTTACCATCCCATTCTGTTTATAGAAACCAATCTGAGACTTAAGGCTGTGCTGAATATTTCTTGTCAGTTTTGGTATTCAGTATTTTATTCTGACTTGCAAGATATTTTCTCAGATTTTCTGTGCCTGCTGAAGACTATTTCAACCTAAAATGGAGAATATTGCCTCTTTATCTGGTCAGTGAAGATCTCTTAACAGAAGAGGTCTGAGGTTGTCACCTAACTCTCAAATGGTGCTTAGATCTTTTAATTTAAAGTACAGATTATTATTAGCCTCGTTCTACATGGTTTTTCTGCTGGAAATAGAATGTCAAAGCCAAATATAAGCGAGAATACTTCCCTGTGGATGTAGACATATATTGGAAATGAGCTGGAGAATCAATCTTTTGCCTCTGTCTCCAGCAGTCCGACCTGTTTGTCTGTAAGAAATATAGCACACAAGGGAAGAACCAGCAAATAAAATAGGTACTATTCACTACTGTGACCATAACCCCTTTGCAGTCAAGGGAAACAGATGTTGAGTGTTGGACAGGATTTGCCATTAGCACTGTAGAGGAGGCTGTCTTCTCTGAGGGGCCCATGTTTCCCTGTGAGTCTGAGTTTCCTGTCTTTTCTGAAGTTGTGCCAGCTGTAGAGTTCTCTGTCTCTTTTGTTTCTGTTCTTGCAAGACAAATAAGAGCTTTTGAAGAGATATTTTTTGCACCTCTCAGTTGAGCAGACTCAAAACATCAGTGGCTAAAGGATTGCTGAGGAACAGCATGATCTCCTGTGGTGTGAGCAGCAATGTATGAACTCATTAGATATTTGTAGACACTACTCTATTCTCCCAAGGTGAATATCTTTTTCCCATGTCTTTCTGTAGCGCCACTGAAGTTGCTAAATGAATTTGTAAAGCACTGATTGTGATGATGGAGTTGACCAATCTGCTCATCAAGCCTCCTGCTCCCACTTTCCACTTCTCTCCAATGCCAACAGCCACTGCTGAGAGAAGTAGAGTTCTTGGAAGAAGCAAAGTAAATTATAGCAGCCAGGTTGGCTGAAAAATGTTCATCGCAGGCTCCGTTCGAGCTCTGCCTGAGGGGTGGCCGATGCCCTAGGGGCACAAGAGATAGCAGAGAAATTAACAGCCAAGTCTGCACAGACAGACGTGTCTCACCTTAATCAGATGTTTGCCTCTTGTTATTTTGGTCTGAACATCACAGTGTTTGATGTGCAAGAATGAAATGCTATTTGGGGACCTGTGATCGGGAGTCTAAATGCGTTTAAGGGGGGAGAAACACAGGACTGCAATCAAATGCCTCTAAAAAGCCAGGTGTGTCTCTGTATTGCTTTTGATGGGCTCTAAGGATATTTTATCTGTTTCCTATGGATTAAAAGACAGGCTCATCTACATAAGAAATACTTTTGTCACTCTAAGAAAAAATAATGAAAACAGAAAGTTAACGTGAGAAAAAAAATATATATTTCTATGTAAAGATTAATCTTAACAATGACTAAAAATCTCAGACTGATCTAGAATATATATAATTCAAAACTGGAAAGAGAAATATAGTAGACTGCATCATTGGTTTAATACAAAATGTGGTGTGAAATTCAAAATGAATACAAAAACTCAAATTGAAGTCTTGAACACCAAAACCAGGAAATGTCAAACCTGTTATGGTACTGTTCTGTGTTCTGCTTAGATGACCTAAACTGCATTTCAAGATCATGATGAAGGCAAGAAAGCATTATCATGTCAACAAATGAAAAAAAAGAAACACTCTGGGACCACCCTGAGTTTCATCAAGACAAATATCAATACAATCAGTTCAAGCTTTACAGATGATGCTCAAACACCTGAGGAAAAAAGCTCAAATGAATGGCAGAAAAAGTTGTAAGAAGAGACAATTCAGAAAGCAGTCTATGGAGACAGTATATAGTAGATCAGTAAAGATTTTTGTTAACATTTCTAAAAGATTTCTGAGCTAAAGCTACTTGTTACATGACAGAACAACTCATATCCTTCCAAAAGATCTCTGCAGAGCTCCCTCCGTGATGCACAGTGTCCCCTCCCTGCAGAAAACTCAGGTTTTAATATTCATTTTCCTAAGATGTTTTTGAAGCTCTGGTTACAATGGAAGAATTAGAAATGTCTTTTTCTCTCCCCTTGGACATATTACCTTTGCTTTCCCATACTTCTCTCATAGCCTCTTCAGCTGTTGATATAAAAAGTTGACTGACAAATTTTAAAACCAATGAAAATATATTGTTGGGGTGCCACAAGGGCTGAGGCCCATTCCACCACCATACACAGGAGCAAGACAGCTGGGGGGGCACCAGGACAGCCCTGGCCCTGGGTGTTGGACACCTTCCTGGAGATGGGAACTGGCCCAAGAGTGGGCCTATCTTGGTGAGTCCCACAGCCAGGCAGAGCAGGACTGTGGGGAGCTGGAGACTGGCCACGCTGCAGCATCTCTGAGTCAGGGACTAATGGCCCCAGGGGGCTGAAATGGGGTCGTCGGCCATGGGCAGGATGGGCGGAGCGCAGGGGACAAGGGACAGGGACAAGAGGTCCTGCAGTGCCCGCAGGTCTCAGAAGTAAACATTCGTGATAGAAACATTGCAATGTTAGAAATAACTCTCTTCATACTATTTCCAAGAGCAAATGAATGTAAGCATTGGTTTCCTAGACAATTAGGTCTTCTCTGGGAACATTTTTCTTAATAAGTAGCTTTACAGCGGTTTTCAAAAAGCTTCAGCTTCCTGTGGAGTATTGTGTTATCCTTTCTAATACCTGTACTAAAATCTCAGAAGTATCAAAGGTGATTTGCAATTCATTAGTTTTATCATCTCTTCAAAAAAAGTTGTTTTAGAGATCAAAGAGAGATCTGAAATCCCAAACATCTGATAAAATTAAACCTAATGCTATGTTAGAAGATAAGCACTGGCTCCATCATAGCACAATCTATGCACATCATAAGTAGCTGACAGACAGTCTAAAAGGGGTTGTAACAATAATGAGGTGGCAAGGGAAAACTCACTTATTCCACTCACTTTAAGGCACTGAGCTAAAGGCTTTTCTGTATTCTTTCCTATTCCAGTTCCTTTGGCAAGGTGTTTTGATGTTGGTGAGGAGGATGCTAAGAAAGAGAAATAAGGACATCATGTTTTTTCTTTCGTGGCATAATGCAAATCAGAAAAAAAAATTAATAATTATACATCAGTATTTCTTACTGATAAATCAATATGAAAAACAATTTTATATCATATTGTGAGCCCAAGATATCATATCATAAGCCCAAGTAAGGAATCTATAATGATGATACAGGGTACAGATCCCCCAAAAAGGCTGTGGAGGGGTACATTCTCACCCAGAAAGTTGAATAAATATCAGATGCTACCAACTGCATATGGATGGAGGGTTTGACAAACCAATTTTTTGTAAATCAGTGAAAGGGTAACATGTCATAAGAAACCTGAAGAGCATGAAAAGCAGTCTTTGGTGCAGGAAAGTCTTCTAAGGCTTCATTGA